GGACTTGGCCATGCCTGTGGGGGAAGGGGGTGATGGCTGAGGCTACGTCCATGGGAAGGGGCAGGGGAGGACATCAGGAAGGGCTCAGGATGTAGGAGGTCACTCGGGAAAAGCAATAAGTCACAACCCATTATGAGAACGTCAGGACCTTGGTATCCACCCAACCCCCTCCCCAGACCCCACACGTGCACATTTAACAGCTGATGAAGCTGGGAGGCGACTCCTCCAAGGTCACTGAGCCAGTCAATGGCAGAGCTGGGGCCAAGCCCTGGGTGTTGTGACTGCCAGCCCAAGGCTCATCTCAATAACAAAAGCAAAAGCAGCTTGTACTGTCCAAAAAGAAGTGCTTCTGGAGCCCGAGAACGTGGGGTCAGATTCTAACTCTGGTGTTCACCAGTCAGGGGTCACTGGCCAACCCCCATCATTCTCAGCCTCCGTTTCCTCATCTGTAAAATGGGAAGCTCAAACTTGCTGGTCGATTATAGCTCTAAATCAGTGGTTCCATGGCCTAGTTCTGTAGGGTTTTACAGCTTACAATGAGAATCTCCAGAAACAACCACGGGAATACATGGGTTTTCCCCATTATACAGATGGAGAAACTGAGGCTTGGAGACATGAAGTCACGCAGAGTAAGTGATAGATAGAGGACTGAACCCAACTCTTCCACGTCTAATGCTCTTTCCATTGCCCTTCTGGAAGTGCCAGACCCTCACACTGCCCCCAGGCTGGGGCTGGGGCTGAGGATGGAAAGTTCCTGGGGGATCAGGGAGGGGTATACTGCCCTTCCCCCAACCCCTCATGCCAAGGGGGCAGGCAGTTCAGGAAGCCCGGCCTGGGACATCTCTGGTGAGTTAAGAGGCCCTGGTGGAGGGAGTCTGGCGTGGGATCCACCCAGAAGCAGGGGCATGTGTTATCAATTAGAGTAAAGAAGCAGAGGGTGGGGAGGGAGCAGAGGGGCCCAGCCCGGAGCCTCTGGGAAGCACGCTCTGACTCCAGCCTCTTCCTCCCGAAGCCTCTCAGTCACCGCCTGGCCTAGGCTGCCAGCACCAAAAAGCCAGCTGACCCCGAAGGACCCTCCTCGGGCATCTGCTCCAAGGCAGTCATCACCGGGAGCAGAGCTTACTTAAGTCAGGTATGAAACGTTTACCTCCTGCTTCCCTTCCAAGCAGGGTGACGCCGCCACCACTGCAGCTTCTTGTGGGTCACAGGCCACACACCTGGGGCTAGAGGACCGGGGTCACAGGCCAGCTCTGCCACCTGAGAACTGGGGGACCCTGACCAAGTCACTTCCCTCTCTGGGCCTCCGCTCCCTCACTTCCCAAAATGAGGTTAGACTAGAGAGATAATCTCTAAGCACCCTCCCAGCTTGAAGTTCTGTGTGCTAAGCAAAACACTGTCAGTTCTATGTTCTAAGGTTCCAAATTCCAAGGCCTCTTACAGCTCTGACATCTATGTTCCAACATTCTCTGTCCTAAGGCCCCAGCCGTCTCTGACTTTCTGTGATACAAGACCCTTCCCGGCTCTGACATTCTAGAATCTCGGAGGTATAGCAGAAGGTTGGACATAGAGTCAGAAAGAACTGGTTCAAATCCTCTGTGACCTTGTCTCTTAAACTCCAAAGGACTTCGGTTTCTTCACTCATAAAATGGGGGCTAGACTCAATGATATTTAAAATCCCTACCTAGGGCAGCTAGGTGGCACAGTGGATAGAGCACCGGCCCTGGATTCAGGAGAATCTGAGTTCAAATCTGACCTCAGATACATAACACTGACTAGCTGTGTGACCCTGGGCAAGTCACTTAACTCCATTGCCTAACCCCCCCCCAAAAAATCAAAATCCCTTCCTGCTTTAAATGTATGGCCCTAGAAGCCTATAATCCTACAGTCTATGTTCTGAGGACCCTCCAGCTCTGATGTTCTGGATTCGATGAATTCTGCTAGCCCACATGCCTTAAGGCACAGGTATGCACACCAGACCACCCAGAGGAGGAGGTAACTCCAAGTTTGTCCATCTCTGGCAGCCCCCTTTTCTGCACCTCCACACCCCCCCCCACTAAATACCTCCTAGAAAGCAAGAACGCACAGTATTACAAATTCCTAGACATGCAAGCCTGCCCCCTATACCTCCATCATTCAGAAACGTCTCCTCCCTGCCCCTGGCTGAGCTCCAAAGAGCCACTGAGCCCAGAGCACTCTACAACAGGGTGAGGATGGCAGCTACCAGCCTCCGAGGACCTGGCAGGCTGTGAGTGGAGAGACCCAACACTTTCTGGCAAGGGAAGTGGGTTGGGGGTGCACCTAGAGCAGGATTGTGAAGTACAGCTCTGGTAAGAGGGCAGAGGTCCCTCGCAATCACTCAGCATTTATTGAGCATCTACTGTGTGCTGGGCACTCTACTAAGTGCTTTGCAAATAGTATTCAACCTGGGGCAGCTAGGTGCCACAGTGGAGAGAGCACTGGCCCTGAAGTCAGGAGGACCTGAGTTCAAATCCGGCCTCAGACCAAACACTTGACACTTACTAGCTGTGTGACCCTGGGCAAGTCACTTAACCCCAATTGCCTTAAAAAAAAAATTCATATTCAACCCTCACAACAACTCTGGGAGGTAGGTTTATTATCCTCATTTTACAGCTGAGTAAACCAAAGCAGATAGAGGTTAAGTGACTTGCCCAGGGTCACACAGCTAGTATCTGAGGCTGGATTTGAACTCATCTTTCTGACTCCAGGTCTTGCATTCTATCCACTGAGCCACCAGCTGCCTCTGAGGTTGTGACTTGTCCAACGTTATAAAGCTGAGAAATAACACAGCCGAGAGTCAAAGCCAGACCACCTCAGACTCCATGTTTCTAGAAAAATGTGGCTGTCTTTAGGACAGCAATGTGGTCTCGCTGGGGTGTGGCCATGGATCTGGGTAGCTAAGGAACCCGAACCTAACTGGAGAAAAGGAAGCATTGGGGCCACCAGCAAGGAGGGCACGAGCTGGGGTCTAGGTGCTTTCTGAGCCTGGAGGCCTCGATTTTCCAGATGTCTTGTGGGCAAAGTGATCTCCTAGGTGGGAGGGCAGAAGGAAGGGGGCGGTGAGCACCCCAGGCCTCTTGGTTCCCTTCCCCAGGCCCTCTGAGGGCCAGGAGATGACTTTTCAAGCCTAGAGCTGTAAAAGGCTCAACCTCAGACTTAGGATGGGGATGGAGCTGAATTCCTCAGCTTTATTAAAAATCATTAAGGGTAGACAGGGCATGTTGGGGGAGGGGGGAAGCTGGGCATGCCAACCAGCAGGAGGGAGCTCCGGGAACTCCCTCCCCACGCAGCCTTCCCCACCAGCATCTGCTAAAATCATTGCTCCATTACTATGCCCCCACCCCATCTACCAGCAAGACCTCCCAGGGACCAGGGACCCAGGCTTGGCCGTCACCACCAGCTGTACCCCAACACGAGTCTCCTCCTGTAATCTCTCCTGGGTGCTGTGGTCCCCGCAGCTGGTGGGGGCGGGGTTGGGCAGCAGCCTAGAATATCTGCTCCCAAATGGCCCCCCCCAGCCGGGGCTAAGCCCAGAAATCTGCACCCTCAAAGCCACACTCTGGTCTTAAGGCATCCAAAGGTCACTGGTAGGAAAAGATCAGCCTTCCCTCACTTTGCCATTTGTATGTCAGCAGATGACTGCGGGAGCCTCTACTATCAGCCCAGGATTAGTAAGCTCCGAGGGTAGAGTCCAGTCCTGAGGAACGGTCAGCTTCCATCTGGCACGGAAGGGTCATCTCAACCTGGCTAAAGCACATAAGGGAGCCCCCTTGTGGCGAAATGATGGGAAGACACAGCCAAGAGTCTCCTAGGATGTGCAGCCTGGGATGGAGGGTATATGATCTCCGTCAACAGCAGGGGACTTCCAAATCTGGGAGATCCCACACCCAGTGGAGGAGCAGAATAGGCCTAGGTAGTTTCTACCTTTCAAAAACACCTCAGTTTAAAGGTAAGGCAGAGGAATGGGTAAATAATTTGGAGCTTATCCATACAACTGTTTGAAATAATCAGAGGATTTGAGAATGGGAATGGACCTCGCTGGCCATCTAGTTCCAACTAAGGAATCCCCACTATGACGGACCCAACAAGTGGTCGTCCAGTCTCAGCCTAAAGACCTCTAAGGAGGGGTAACCTCTCAAGGGGGCCCCTTCCACTCTGGGACAGCTCTCACTGGTAGTAAGTTCTCTCCAATATCCAACCAAAATTAGCCCCTTTGCAAATTCCACCCATTTATTCCTGGTCTCACCCTCTGAAGCCAAACAGGGTGAATCCTCCTTCCACAGGACAGCCCTTATCATGTCCCCTCTGAGTCTCCTCTGCTCCAGTTCTTCAACTGATCTGCAAACGTCTTAGACTTAAGGCGTCATCATCTTTGTTGCCTTCCTTGGGCACGCCCCTTCTATCCATATCCTTCTTAAACTGCAGAGCCCAGAGCTGACCACAGTCCTCCATCTGCTGTGCGAGGAGGGCAGAGCCCAGTGGGACCATCACCTCCCAATGCCTCCCTCCTCCTGGAAGCTGAGGTTCTCTTAATGCAGCCCAGGGCGACCTTACCTTTTCTAGACTCAGAACAACAACTCCCTATCCAAGCACCGCCATCTCGTTCTTCTGCAGTTGATTTTTTTGGACCCAAACACAGATCTTGACCTATATCCTTAGTGAATTTCATCTTATTCCATTCAGTCCAAGGCTCTCGCCTGGAAAGATCCTTTCAGATCCTGACCCATCCTCCAAGGTTCTAACGGTGGTCCTTTCCAGCTAATGCGGGGTCAGCTGCCAGTCTGATGAGCGTGCCACCCATGCCTTTATCTAAAAATGTTAGATGACCCAGGGCCAAGCTGAGCTCATTTTGGATCATCAAGAGCTGACCTGCCCCGTGTCTTCGGCACAGACACACATTTAACGCTACACATTCCCCGGCAAAGCTGAATTCTGTAAGAGGTCAGGAGCAGAGCCTGGCCAGCCCAGCACGAGGGGCTCACCTGGCGGTAGGTACAGATGATGATCTCCCTCAGGTGGTAGTGCATCGGTGTCATGGTCTCGCTCACCGTGTCCAGGGCCACATCCACCTCCTTCTTCACCCGGTGCCCATCAGGCAGCAGCTGGACCACCTTCATCACCACCTGGGGTAGAGACAGAGAGACAGGCAGCGGAGGCCCAGCCCAGGGAAGCAGGCGGCCTTGCACCCACAAGACGGTCCAGAAGTTTTAGATGGGGCTCCCACCTCCTCCAGAAGGGCCACCCCGGCTCCATGCGCAGTCAGCACATCACCTGCAGGGGGCAGGAGGGAGCTACCGTCACGGCAACATCTCATGATTCCACCATGCTTTGGAAGGCTGGCTTTACATGCTCTCATTTCCATCTCTCAACAACAATCTGGGCTGCTAGGAGGCGCCATAGTGCACAGAGCAGTGGGACTGGCATCAGGAAGACTCATCTCCCTGAGTTCAAATCCAGCCTCAGACACTTCCTAGCTGTGTGACCCTGGGCAAGTCACTTCACCCTGTTTGCCTCAGTTTCCTCATCTGTCAAATGAGCTGGAGAAGGAAATGGCAAACCACTTCAGTATCTCTGCCATGAAAACCCCCAATGGGGTCAGATACAATGAAAACAACAACAATTTTTGTGAAAAGAAACAATTGTGAAACAATGTGAAAAGTTTGTGAAACACACACCATTATTATTCCCATTTAACAGATAAGAAAATGAGGTCTAGAGAAGATTGACCAGGGTACAGATAAAAGTGTCAGAGGCAGGATTTGAACCCAGATCTTCTTGACTCCAAGTCCCCATCTCTATCCAATAATTCACTGCCTCTCTAGGTTTATCATTTCTCTGCTAAAGACTCCCCAGATTTATACAGATCCTGCTCTCTAGTCCTGCTTAATCACCCTCCTACTGAGCACTTCAAACTGAATGCCCCCACAGGTATCTAAAATTCTCTTTAACCCAAACCTGCCCTCCAGGGTTATTACCCATGACTCCCCCTCACCCATACTACAGTTCAGCCAAGCTGGACTTCTTAATGTTCTTCATCCATGACATTCCTTATCCCATCTCTGCACTCTTGCCTTGGCAGTGCCCCACGCCTGGGATACCACCTCTTAGAACTCCTAACTTCCTCTAAGACTCAGCTAAAATACCACCTCCTATGCGAGGCCTTTCTTGAGCTCCTGGCGGTAAGTGCTTTTCTCCAAAATTCCTTTGTATTTATTTTATCCATAAATATGTGTAAATATATATTTAATTACATATATAAATATATAATCTACTTTTACATAAATGTATGTGCAAATATATACATCTTATTTATATATATGCATTCTTGCATATAAACATCATATATTTTTTATTTATATACATGTATATAAATACATGCACTCTACATATAAATATATGCATTTTATTTCTATAGATGTGCATACTGATGGCCATATCTATCCGTTCCCTCCCTATTTGAATGTAAGCTGCCTGAGGGCAGAGCCAGCCTTTATAGCACAGAAGCTGTTAAGACTTCCCAAACAGGGGCAGCTAGGCGGCCTCAGCAGATAGAGCACTGGCCTTGGAATCAGGAGGACCTGAGTTCAAATCCGCCCTCAGACATGTACACTTACTAGCTGTGTGACCTTGGGCAAGTCACTTAACCCCACTGCCCAGCCAAAAAAAAAAGAAACAACAGGACTTCCCAAAGATCACACAGATGAGGCCCTCCAAGCTACAAGGGAGGTGATGCGGTGTACTGGGAAAAGGGTAGGCTTGGAGTCAGGAAGAGATGGGTTCAAATCCTCACTATGAATGAATGAATGAAAAAGCACTTATTAAGCGCCTTGTTGTCGTTCAGTTGTTCCAGTCATTTGTGTCACACGCTCTTTGTGTGACCTCATTTGGGGTTTTCTTGGCAAACAACCTCCAGTGATTTACCATTTCCTTCTCCAGCTCATCTTCCAAATGAGGAAACTGAGGCAGAGAGGGTTACGGGAGAACCCAGGGTCACACAGCTAGTAAGGGTGTGAGGCCAGATTTGACCTCAAGAAGATGAGTCTTCCTGACTCCAGGCCCAGAGCTCTATCTACTGCGCCACCATTAAGCACCTGCTACATACAAAACACTGTCTCTGCCATTTTCAGCTGTTTGAGCCCTCTGGCCTCTGCATTCTGGGAAGCAGCTTCCAGGAAGAAGGAAGTGACCATCCCACTGTCCTGGGCCCCGGTTGGACCAGCCTGGGGGACGTGTTTAGTTCTGGGTGTCAACTTGTAGGGAAGCGTATGGATAAGCTGGAGTCTGTGCTTGAGTCTTATAAAATGTCGGCTGGAGGAACTGAGGAGGTTTGGCCTGGAGTAGATCAAGGGGGGACAGAACAGCATCAGGAGCTGGGGCAATACGGTGGATTTGGCCTGGACACCTTCCTCTAACGACGGGAGTTCTCTCTACGTGGCCCAGCTGCCCAAGGTGGAGGGGCTTCTCTCCCGGCGGACAGGACCCGGCCATGTGTTTCTGATGGTCACTGGTGGTCACGGGTGGGACTAGATTTACCTGGAATTCTCTTCCCATTCTGAAGTGAAATGTGCAGCTCCATTCCTGTGACCTTCAGACTGTCTGGACAGAGTCTGGGCAGGGACAGGGCCCTTTGTCCCCCATCTCTCCATTTACACTTTGAAGGTAAGCTTCCTGAGGGCAGGCAAGCTTTCTTCCGGCTTGTATTAGCATTCCTAGCACTCAGATCGTGTACATATATGTGTAGTAAGAGCTTAATGAATGCTTACTGACTTGACTGGGAGCTGGGTCACAATAACGGGGCATCCAAGCAGAGGTGATGGGGAACCAGAGGGGTCACTCACCTCAAACTCTCCCTTGGTATACTTGGCATCAGGCACGCTCACGATCTCCTCCTCTCCCATCTCAGGGAAGCCCTGGCGGGGGACACAGAGGAGAGGAAAGGGATTAGGACCCCTGACTGAGGAAACTCCCTCTCTCAACACAAGGTCACACATCCTGGATGTGGCAGATGCGAGACGTGAACCCAGGTCTACCCGGCTTTGAGGCCACAACTCTACCCAGTATCCACACTCACTGCCTCTGTGGACCATTAGCGTTATTTTATAATTATTGAATGACATCCAAGGGTTGCTAGCTGTCCTTCCCAACAGACTCCCATCCCCTTCTGCTGACTAATGACACCCTGGGGTCTTTCCCCCAAGCTGCCTCCCTCTCCCCATGCCAGAGACACAGGCAGCTAAGGAACCCAGCGCCTCCCCCAGCCCCGCTCCTCCCGTCTCCTCCTGGCCACCCCAGCTCTCCACTACTACCCCCAGACAGAGGCGGTACCCACATTAATGTGCCACAGGATGAGGACAGCCACAACCATGGCTGTCGTGGTCCGGCCCTGGCCGCTCAGGCAGCTGAACACGAAGCTGGTACTGGGGTCCTTGGCCAGCGCCGCCCTCATCGCCTCAAGGAGCCGGTCAAAATCCTAGAAGATGGACAGCAAATGGAGCTAGGAGAGGGGCCGGGGGCCAAAGCCTCCACCTGGACACTCTTAGCTAGGCGAACATCCAGGTCCCTCCCCACCAGACACAGACACAGACACACACACACACACACACACACACACACACACACACACACACAGAGGGACAGAGTGGGCTTGCAGCTGGGAGGCCAGGATTCAGTTCCCAGCCTTTACACTTAACCAGCTGTGGGACCCAAGTAACTCCCCCTCCCTCTGGGCCTCACTTTCCACATCTACAAAATGGGAATGATCACATCTGTACTTGCAGTCTCAGAAGGCTACTAGGGAGGAAAATGCTTTGTCAAGTCGAAAGTGTTCCCACTAGGGAGCGAGGGTCCTTTCCCTAAGATCCAGACCTCAAACTATCACTACATTAAATGTCCAGAGATGGCAGCAAACACATAAGAGAAAAAAGGAAGGCTGTGAAGAGGAGATTCTGCCTAATTCCAGGACCCAGAGTGGGGGAGACCTGAGCAGAAGGTCTGACCCAACTCTCCCTGCTTACTATGGGAGTAGGGGCTGGACCTTCAATTTTAACGGTAGAGGAACCCAGGTGAGGAAAATCCCTGCACCAATGCAGGTTAGACCTTTTCTGCAACATATTTTTAGAAACTAGGTCAAACTCAAGTAGAAACAAGGGCCACTAACTCAACACACATAAGGATTCCTGCATATTAGTAGTGAGGAGGGTCAGCTGAGCTCATCACCTAAACACAGCACAGACAGGCTGATCCCTCAACCTCAGCACCGGCCACAGCACCTTCTCACATCCCGAGGACCAGAAGGGTTAGATGTGTGGGGTGTGCTAGTAAGTGTTTAACAATAGGCTCTTGGGGGGGAAGGCATAGGAAACGGACACACTTTTAAGTTTAATCCACTGAAAATTTAACAATCAGCTCTCAGGATTTGGTTTGAGCCAACATATTCCCGGTTAGGTGATTTACCTAACACTGGTAAAAAGTAAAAGAACTGGGATTTCAACCCAGGCTCCCTGACTCCAAAGCCAACATTGTACCATGGCACCTAGGGCGGCTAGGTGGTGCAGTGGATAGAATGCCAGGGCTGGAGTCAGGAAGACTCATCTTTCTGAGTTCAAATCTGGCCTCAGACCCTGGTTGCCTCAGCTTCCTCATCTGTAAAATAAGCTAGAGAAGGAAATAGCAAACCCTTCCAGTATCTCTGCCAAGAAAACTCCAAAAGGGGTCACGAAGAGCCAGGCACCTCTGAAACGACTGACCGAGTAGCTGGGTCCGGACGCAAAGCCGGGCCTCCTGTCCCTTCTCCCATACCGCAGCTGACCTTTCCACACCCCCAGACAGCTCCCTGCTCGGGCCCCACCCACATTACCTGCTCCCTAGGGGCACAAAAGCCTGGGATGGGGAGGCGCCGGTAGGAGAGGTCCCGGTGCTGGCTGAGAATGTCCTGCACGGTCAGGCACGTCTGGAACGGCGTCTGCTTCTCCCGATCCGGGTGCACCTGTATCCGCTTGGGGGAAGCCAACACCCTGGCCTTCAGCTGGGACTCCAATTTCTGCAGGAGAAGGAGGAGTACCAAGAGGATTACTGGGCAGGCAGGAGTTACAGGATCCCAAAGAGATTTAGAGTTGAAAGGACGTCTTGAACAACCCCCTCGTTTTACAAATGGGGAAACTGAGGAAGAGGGAAGATGACAGGCCCGTGGTCACACAGACAGTAAAACAGGAGAGTCAATCAACAAGCATTTCTTACTGCGTCAGCATCTGAACCCAGGACTTCTGCCTCCCACTCTATTTCACACCCCCACGCCCCTATCCCAGGCTGCCCGCCTCTCTGGGTGGGTGAGGGGCAGGCCAGCAAGGGTAAGTCTAGGAAAGCGCACAAAAGGCAGGATGGGGAAGCCCACCTCCAGCTGCTCGGGGGAGCAGGCAGCAGGCCCAGGAAAGGGCTCCTTCAGGTTCCCCTGCTCCCGCAGCATGTAGGTCTGCCCATCGCACTCCACAACCGCCTCTTCCCGAAGGTTGAGCCAGCTCACCTGCCGGTGCTTCCTCTTGGAGTCAGTCAGGTAGGCCAGGACGCTTCCCATGGCCTGGGGGAGGGAGGAGAGACCAGTAGGCCGGGAGCCTCGGGGGCCCTCCCGGGGGCCCATTATTGGCCACCCAAAGAGGAGCCCTTCCCTCCCCAACCCAGCCAATCACCTTGGCGGTAGGCTGGGCCATGCCGTAGATGGGCATCTTGGCTACCCTCCGGAAGTTGGCCACGTTCATCTCTCGGACAGTGCTGAGCACGTCAGGGGAGAAGGGTCCATCTGCCACCTGCAAGGACACACCTCAGGGAAATCTGTGCTCTGTCCCCATTTTATAGATGGCGAACGGAGAGGCCCAGAGAGGTCCTGATTCACCAGCATCACACTGCAATGGGATTGTGAGTGACTCCAGAACCCCATCCCTGGACTTGGCTCAAGGCTTTTTCCACTGGGTCCTGCTGGCTGCCTCAGAATAAGACACAGGACGTGGTCTCCTCTGGGGACAGGGAGGTGCAGAGAGGTCATAGGATTATAGATTTACAGCTAAGGCAGGACACAGGAAAGGAAGCCGGGGGTGCATCTGAGGAAGAAGGAAAGCAAGGCTCTGAGGAAGGACCATCCTACAGAAGGGAGAAGGGAAGGGAGCTCGGGCCCAAGATGGCAGAGAAGGTATCTCACCAGCACCCAGGCGTCCTTGGCAGTCAGCTCCCCGGTGACCAGAGGCTCCCTCAAGTTCACCTGCAGCCGGTACAGCTCCGGGTGTCCACACATCCAGCGGCTGAAACTGAGGGCAAAAGCCAGGGGGTACTGGCGGCCACGAGACAGAGAGACGCTGCGTTCAGGGGCGAGGTGAGCGGGCACTCGGCCCAGCCAGACCTACTCCGCTCGGGATCTCGGCTCCCGCCCCACCCCAGCAGGGCCACAGGATGACAATCAGCCCCGAAAGAGGGCTTAAGAGGACATCCGGCCCTACCCAGAGTGATTTAGGTCACCCAGGGAACAGGCAGAAGAGCCAGGATCCAGGCCTCTGAGGCCACATGGCAAGTATTCTTTCCAGCGGCCCTCTGAGCCCGCTCTCTATCCATCTGTCCACATCTCCCTCCCCCCTGCACTGGGGGCCATCCCTACCCTCACGGCAAACTGGTCAACCAGGAGCTGCCTCCTCCAGCCCCCAGCCCCCACCCGTCCCTCTCAGCTCCACAAGGTGCCCCCCACCCCAGCTGGAGCCCACAAGAAGGGCAGAGGCGGACCCCAGGGCAGTTCCAGGGCGCAGAGAAGGGAGAGGTTGGGGGAAGGGGCCCCAGGGCAGTATTTCTAGAACCGATTCAATATAGGACGCACACACTTTCTCTGACTCACCCCAGGGTGATGACCACCGTGGTCTCCCCCCGCCCTCCCCGTCCGGCTGGCAGCTATCTGCCCACCATACTCCAGCCCCAACCAGAGCTGGGGCAAAGCACGTGGGCACCCCAGAGTAGGTCTGAAAAGAGTAGGCCGCTCCTCTATCCAGCACCGTTTGAGGATTCACACAGACAGTAAACATCAGCACTTCACACCCTGGGCCGCAGCCCACCCTGCCTCCTCCTAGCTCTAGCTCTGTCCCCAGCTCCACTGTAGATACACACGCGCACTGCATATACATAGCAAGAAAACAGGCCCAAAGGATCCCAGATCTAGCACTGAAAGGGAATGCAGAGGTTACCCAGCTAGCCCTGGAAGGAGGCCTTTCACCAGCTACCTCCTGAAGGGGGTCCCCACCGGAAGCACCTTTGCCTCTAAAGATACTTTGTATAAACACTGGGCATTTATCTTGTACATACACATTGGCTCCTCCATTAGAATGTAAGCTCCCTGAGGGCAGGGAATGTTTCTGCTTTTTCTTTCTATACTAATGCTCACACATAATTAAGTACTTATGAGATGCTTTTGAGTGATTTGGTCAAATTGGCTCATTTTACAGATGAGGAAAACTGAGGCTCAGAGATCCTAAATGACTGGCCCGAGGTCATAGAGACACACACAAGGATCTGTGACCTCTTCTGTTGGGGAATATTCCACGTGGCAATTTCTTCTGCCAACACAGATCATACCAGTCTCTGCCTTAGCTCAGAGGGCAAAAGGACCTGGGTTCAAGTCCTGTCTCCGCCATTTACCGCTACATGACCCTGGATAAGTCACTTGTCACCTTCCTGGGCCTCAGCCTACTCTCCACTGTAAAATGAGTGGGTGGATCCTCTCCACTCTCCATCTAGAATCCTGTGGTTCTAAGGAGTTACCTGGAACCCATGGTCTCAAAGCTGGGAAACGGTAGAGACAGGATTGGAATTCAGGACTTCGTAAGTCCAAGCCCAGCGCTCTGTCCACTACAACAAGCTCTTTCTATGCACTTGCACACACACACGCTCACAGGCCATCGGGTCCAACCTCTTTATTTTACAGATAATAAAACTGAGGCCCAGGAAGGTGAAGTGGGCCTCAGAGGCAGAATCAAAGCCAGACTCAGCACCACTGACCCATGCTGTCTCTCTCAACACCCCAAGAGGGAGACAGCATGGATGAGTAGGCCCATTTCCAAGATGAGAAGCCTGAGGTTCCATAAGGGGGAGTGAGCCGTCCAGAATCAGCAGCAGAGCTGGGCCCCTGCTCTCACACAAAAAGCACACCCAGCCAGTCCACATTCTAGCTGCTCTCCCTCAGGTCCCGCCATGGTCACCAGAGCACAGCATGAGCTGAGCCTGAGGGAGGACACGAAGGGCCAAAGGCTGACCCACCTGCTCGTGCAAATAGTAGTTGAAGGCAATCAGGTAGAAGTAGCGTTCCAAGCTCTGCAGAGTCTTCTGCTGCCGGGGTTCTTGGCCACCACTTCCCTGAAGGGGAGGAGAACTTAAGGGAATGAAGTGGCAGTCATGGAGATGACCGAATATCAGACCTGCAAGAGCCCTTAGAACCCTGAACATCAGGGCTGGGAGGGATCCTAGAACACAGACCATCAGAGCTGGGAGGGAGCTTAGAACCCAGACCATCAGGGCTGAGAGGGAGCTTAGCATACAGAACATCAGGGCTGGGACGGATCCTAGAACACAGAACATTAGGGCTAGGAGGGAGCTTAGAACACAGACCATCAGGGCTAGGAGGGAGCTTAGAACACAGAACATCAGAACTGGGAGGGAGCTTAGAACACAGAATGTCAGAGCTGGGAGAGGGCTTAGAACATAGGACATCAGAGCTGGGAAGGACCTTGGGACACAGAATGTCAGAGCTTGGACAGAACTTAAAACACAAAACATTAGAAATGGAGGAGCTTAGACTATAGAGTATCAGAGCTGGGAGGAACTTTAGAATATGGACTGTCCAAACTGGAAGAGATCTTAGAACATATAACCTCAGAAGTAGGAGAGAGCTTAGAACATGTAAAGTCAGAGACTTTAGGACCTTAGGACCTAGAACATCTGAGATAGGAGGAAGCTTAGAACATAGAACATCAGGGCTAGGAGGGACCACAGAACCCAGAGCTGGGAAGGATTTTCAAGGTGCTTCATTGACTCCTGTGGCCTCTAGGAAAAACAAAGCAGCTCCTCCATTTTGGGCATTCAAAGCTCCTCACAGCCTGGCTGCACCCACCTTTCCAGGCTTCCTGCCCATCAGAACCTTCTCACAATCTCCATTCTAGCCTTACACAATCTTCTATTTCCTGACTCCGTGCATTTGCATAAGTCTTCCTCGTGCATTGTGCCTGTAATGCCCTTCCTCCTCAGCTCCTCCTCACTGGAAGCCCAGCTTCCCTCAACATTCAGGTCAAATGCCACCTCCTGCAGGGAGCCTCCCCTCATGTCCTGCTTTCTCGGACCTGACACGGGATGGGAGAAGTGCAATTTCTTTATAACTATTTTGCGCTCTCAATCCCTTCCCAGCGGTCCTCCAACCACCGCCTGAAGAGCCAGGGTGACAGGAAGCTCACTCCATTCACCCTCCTTACCCTTTCTCTGAAAGCAACACAGGGGCAGGGGACAGAAGGGTGGAAAACACGGAGGATTTAATGTCAGAGGGCCCAGGTTCAAATCTCTGCTCTGCAATTTACAGCCTGTCTGAGATGGACAAAGCCTTTAACCTGAGCCTCGGCTCCCCCATGTGTAAAAGGAGTGATCTCTAACGTTCTTAATCCTACAATGATCAAAAACAAGAAATGAGAGGAATCTGGAGCAGCAGAGGAAGATTTCTAGAAACTGACGCAGAGGGAAGAAAACACAACCAAGCCAGAGAGACACAATGATGTCGAGGCCATCGATGAACCCCGAGAAAATGAAAGCCCCACTAACCAGCCTGGAGAAAGGCCCAGGAAACAAGGGCTCCTAGCATCCTGCTCCCTCTTCTCCCCAGACAGCCTGGGGACCACCAGCAGGCCAGCTGCGGACTCCCAGCCCGGCTCACCGGATTGGCCGCTTTTGTTTGAGCCATTCTCCTTTGTTAAAACGGAAGGTTCCGTTCCTGGCCAGGGGATGGGGCAGGGTGAGGAGGCCACATCAAAAACAGGGATAAGGTAGCAAGGGAACTCCCAGGTGAGGAAGCTCCCTGTACCACTCCAGGCTGGCACCATCTCTACAGCTTACTTAGGAGTCATCAGGGGCAACGGTGTCCAACTCAAATAGAAACAAGGCCAGCACAGGACCCAGCAGGTCCATATCAACTCAGAAAACAACAGATTAACATTATCTATGTTTTACTGCCCTCCTGTTTGTTTTGTTATGCATTTCCCAGTTACACTGTAATCTGGTCTGGCCCCAGTGGGAGTGTCGTGAGACGCCTGGGGCCACTGTTCTAGAGATTAAGTGACACACCGAGGATCTCACAGCCTGTAAGTATCAGGGGTTGGATTTGAACTCAGATCTTCCCAGCTTCCAGAATGACTCTCACTATGCTACTTTCAATACCACCTCTCTTTGTTTTAAAATAAATAAGAATAAATCCTTTGATGTCTCTTTGGGCCGTTCGTTTGACCACTGAGGTTCTGACATCTCCCGCTGGGGGTCATTCTGGCCCAAGAACACACACTGAGAAGCAGCTGCAGTTTCCAGCACAAACCATGGCTGGTTAGGGGGCCGGAAGGGTGGGCGGGCAGAGCAGCAAGCAGAGAGGGGCCTGGGCTCTGTCCAGGAAGGGTCTGGCTTTTAACACCATCCATCAGAGCTGGCTGCCTGTCCCACTTTCTCCTTTTCCCCCAACTCAGGGATACCTTCTTCTATCCTGTTTATATCACGAGGCCAGAAAAGCCGGTTGGGAAAAATAAACTTCCCTCTCCTTATCCGCCCTTTCCTGTCCCTGCTCCCGTCCTTCCTCCAGGACCTGCTAGCATTCACACTGTCAGAGGAGCAATCATTGACAGGAGGCAGGGGGACAGAGGCCTCTGTGAGAAATGGGCCCCTCTCCCACGCACCAGAGCCCACGCAGAAGCCTCTCCAACAACCAGCAAAAGACCAGGGAGACATGAAACGGACCTTCAACTCTCCTTCTGGTGGGTGGGTTTATACCAAAGAGTCGAGTCTAGATGGCGCTAAATTCCAGCCCCAGGGAGTCCCAACCTCTCTGCCTGGCCTTCAAGGCCTTACACAAGTCAAGTCTACCCTATGTACTCAGCCTCTGCAGGGCTGTATAGTCATCGACCTAGGGCCGAAAGGGACCAGGTGAAGAAACTGAGGCCCAGGAGGGATGACTGACTTGTCTGAGGTCACACGAGGAGCATGAGAGGCTGGGTTTAAGCCAGGCCTTCGGAATCCAGATGTGGCCCTCTTCTCACTGAACTATACTGCCTCAAAGAATGAGAGAGCCTTAGACCTAAAAGGAACCTTAGTACACAAAATATCTATGCTAGAGAGGGCCTTACAAAACAGACCACAGAACATCTGAAACCCTAGAACACAGAAGGTCAGAACTGACAGGACCTTAGAACATGGAATGTCAGGAACATCTGAGCTGGAAGGAACCCTAGAACATAGAGTGTCAGAATTGGTAGGGACCTTAGAAAACAGAATATCAGGAACATCTGAGCTAGAAGGAAACTTAGAACACAGAATGTCAGAATTGGTAGGGACCTTAGAACATAGAATGTCAGACTGGAGAAGGAGCTTTACAGAAATACACCATGGAACATCTGAGGTACAAGGAACCCTAGAAGACAGAAGGTCAGAATTGATAGGGACCTTAGAAAACAGAATATCAGGAACATCTGAGCTAGAAGGAAACTCAGAACACAGAATGTCAGAATTGGTAGGGACCTTAGAACATAGAATGTCAGGAACATCTGAGCTAGAACACAGAGTGTCAGAATTGGTAGAGACCCAAGTACACAGAACGTCAGGCTAGAGAAGGAGCTTTATAGAAATAGACCACAGAACATCTGAGCTGGAAGGAACCCTAGAACATAGAGTGTCAGAATTGGCAGAGACCTGAGTACACAGAACGTCAGAGCTAGAAGGAGTGCTATAGACCAGCTAATCCAGCCCCTTCACTAGGCAGAGCAGAATGCACCGGCTATTCCAGAAGTGCTAGCCTCATAACCCAACAGTCAGGGATTGAAATCCCCTCCACTTATCAGTATTTCCTTGATGTCACATGGTGTCCTCTTGGAGCACTGAAGATTATGTCAGTGGACCACAAGACTCGCTTGGATCTCTAGCCACTGCAAGGCTGGGACTGTGGGCCTAGTGATGGTCTGTGCACCTGGGTGCTGGGACAGGGGGTGGCCAACGACGGACGCATTTCTACCATCACAAAGCCTGTCTTCTTTGTCACATTGTGGACTGCTCCCCCTAGGAGCAGGACCCAATTTTCTTGTCCTCCCTCAGCCCTCCTCCTGCTCCACACACACAGGGCCCGACCTTTCTGAGGAGAGCTCCCACCACGGCCTCACCTGCAGGTGATCCTGGCCAAGCCCTTCCAACTTCTTCTGGTTTTCAAAGACAGTCTCCTTCAGGTTATGCAATTCTGAGCAGGCCGCTAAGGTGTGGTCCACCTAGAAAGGAAGGGATGGGGGGGGGGGAAGATGGAGAGGAGAGAAGGAAGATGGTGAGGGGGAGGGAGAGGAGGGAGAAGCAAAAACCACTCTCCACCCCCATCATCAACAAAAAGCCAGCTAGAAGGCCAATTCCCCACCTCCCACAGTCATTCCCTCCTATCCCCTCATCCTTCAGGGCTCCCTTACCTCCTCCACAATCTGCCTCCCCTTGGGTACCATGTGGATGAAGCTCCGTACCACCTCCAAGTGCTCCAGAGGCCGTGAGTCAGTTTGTGGGGGTGCTGCCCTGCCGGGGGAAGGGAAATGAGGGCATGAAAGGGGAGAAGCCCGAGGCCTCCTTACAACACCCAAGGGATCCCCAGCTCTCACAGACAACGCTGGTGCAGGATGAACTCTGCCCAGTGGTCCCCCACGCTGGAAAACCTCATCACTAGAAGGCAGCTCGTGGAACAATCCGCCCAAGCTCATACTATGAACACTACACTGCTCCAGAGATCAGCAGCATTTCCCCCAAAATGACTTTAGAACTGCCTATAATCACTGCCATTTTTTCAGAGTACATGTTATATAGCATACAAACACACACATACACACATACACACACATACATGTACACACATACACACACGTGCACACGTACATCCGTGTGTACACACATGTTCATGTACACACACGTATACACACGCACGCACGCACGCACACACACAGCAGCTAGGCGGTGCAGTAAACAGAACACTGGGCCTAGAGTCAAGAAAACCCGAGCTCAAATCCATCCTCAGCTACTTCCTGGCTGTGTGACCCTAGGCAAGTCACTTAACTACTGCCTGCCTCAGTTTCCCCATCTGTAAAATGAGAATAATAATAGCACCTACCTCCCAGCATTGTCGTGAGGATTGAATGAGATTAAAAAAATCTATGAAGCCCTTAACACGGTGCCTGGCACGTAGCAGGCGCTATATAAACGTTAGCTATCATTAGCTATCATCACGTAAATAATATGTACAAGCCTTTCACAGGGATCATACTTTAACAATATGACATATTCAGGGGCGGCCTATACTTAGGCCAGCGTGACCAGATATGATTATGTACGTTATATACTATATGTATACGCGTGCGTGTGTGTGTATAGATGTATACACACACACACACACACACACACACACACACACACACACACACACACACACACACACACACACACACACACACACATATATACGTACATGCTATATACGATTATAATAGCCAAGGCATCCCAAAAGTCTTAACGCAATTTTAAGCTATTAAGGCTTAAGCAGGCCTGGACACTAAAGCCAGGCATCTTGCTTTCAGCCTGAGTTCCCACCTAGGACCAGAGCCAAGAGCCAGCGAGGAGCCACAGGTGGATGGGGGTAGGGCCAGGACTCAGGCCCAGGTCCTCGGCCCCCAATCCAGCGCCCTCTTTCCTCTGCCAGCCCCCCAACTTGGTGCCATTGCTGGGAGACAGCCCCTCACCCCCGTCCTGGCCTCATCCCATGGGTGCTTTGTGGCCCACGTACTCTGGCCTCTTGGTCATCCTCCTGCAGTGAGAGAGCACGAGGGTGCCCAGCACCATGCCCAGATTGGTCCTCCCGATTCCGGTCTGGCAGCTGAAGAGAAGGGCTGGGGGTGCCCCCACGGGGTCCCGGAGTGGCAGCAGGCTGGGGCTCTCCTGGAGGTAAGACACTGTCAATCATGCAATACTGTGGTCTGAGCAGCCCAGCAAAGCACGACCCCGTCCTGGGCTTGGTGACTCACATGATCAAACTATTCCCACCATCCTTCCTGACAGAGCAGTGGGAGGAGCCCCAAGCTACGGCCTGGTTGGTGGGGATGGGTCTGCTGTGCCGCCCACGCCCTCTCACTGCTCTGCCTCTAAGAGAAAGCTTGCCACGGTCAGAGGTAAGTCTGTGGCCAGAGGCAACTCAGCCAAAGTCTCGGCCAAAGTCAGAGGGGATCAACCCATGGCACCCACCCTGACCTTTCACAGAGGAATGAGCCTTGAGGAGGGGCTTCTGGGGTTCAGGCTCCCAGAAATGCCTGCCTCCCACCCTCTCATACTTCCCACCACTCCCTGCTTACCCGGAGGAACCCGATGAAAGCATCAAACTGGGCTTCCAGGGGGGCCCCATCTTCTGGCAGAGGCAGTCGGTGGTACCTGTCAAGTCACCAATGGCTCATCACTGGGAGACCCCAAGGGGGTGAGAAAAGGTCTCAAGGTAGAGACCCTCCTCAGCTGAGAAGAGGGGCCCAAGAGACCCCCACTGGTGAGGAGAGAAGGCTGAGAGACCCCCATTGGTGAGGAGAAGGGGCCAAGAGACCCCAGGTGAGGAGAGGGGCCTAAGAGACTCCCACTGGTGAGAAGAGGTGGCCAAGAGATCCCCACTAGTGAGAAGAGAAGGCTGAGAGACCCCCATTGATGAGGAGAAGGGGCCAAGAGACCCCTAGATGAGGAGAGGGGGCCAAGATCATGTGAAACTAGAGCCCTCCAGTCCTCCCCTTCAGGGCTCAACTGGTCAGAGGAATTAGGGACAAAAGGGATCTTAGAAATCATCAAGTCTAGCCTCCCCCTCATTTTACAGAGGAGAAGACTCAAAGAGGAAGTACTGTGTACACACAGCACACAGCTGACTAGCATCTGAACCCAAACACTCTGTCCCCATCTGGCATTCCTGGCTCCCTCAAGAAGCTAAGCCCATCCCCTGAACAGGAGGTCCTGGCTTTCCTATCATTCCACGGGCTGGGCCAGGAGCAGGGCAGACGCAAGGGCACCAGCCTCGTTCCCAAATCCTTTGGAAAATCCAGTGAAAGGGGAGAAGAGGAGCTCGGTGGGGAGGGGTCATACCCAGAATGACCCAAATGGGGCAGAGACGCGCACGGCTGATATACTGCTTGTATTTGCTGAACTCATTCTCTTTCTTATTCTTTTACTGCAAGGGATGGCCCAATGGGGAAAGAAGAGAAGGCGAACATCTTCAGAAAGACAAGATACCACTTGGGAGGAGAAGGGAGGATAGACATGTTTGGAAATGAACACATTAAAAGTTTTCAAAAATCTTCAAGCATCAGGTACCATGGGATGTTACATTTTCTGTGTCTGTCTTATCCCCTACTAGACTGTAAGCTCCTGAGGCCAGAGAACATGTCTCATCTAACTTCTATATTTCTCCCAGTGCCTTGGAGCAAGCAGGCATTTAATAAATGCGTGTTTAATAGAAAAGAAAAGAAATGGGTAGCTATAAAAATAAGAGACATCAATAAAAATCTTTTTTAAGGAAAGAGACAGATAAAGGGGAGAGGGGCAAGACACAAATGATCCCCCATACGCCCCTAGGTTATCTTCCAAAGATATGACCCCATGTATATACCCACGCCAGGTCAAGGAGTGGGTGGAAATAAATCAGCCCATTGTACAGGTAGGAAAACTGAGGCCTTGGATAGGCAAAGACCCTGGGGGACCACTGTCTAAGGTCCTGCTCAGTAAGTCAGAGGTAGAACTCAGGGAGAGTCTAGTAGCCTAGAGTCCAGCCTGGGGCAGTGACCACCAAGGCTGAAGAAGAGTGCATCAGTGGGTCGGACTGTCACCTGTATGACGGAAGCAGAAAGACGGGACGCTTGTACACCTCCTCCGTCACATGGATGTCATCCTCATTCTGGACCGGCACCGAGTGTGGCTCCTCCCGGAAGTGCTCAATGTCATGGTAGACATGGTACGTGTTCTCACTCAGCTGGGCAAAGTCATGAATCTGGACCAGAAAGGATCAGACGATCATTACTCCTGAGAGGGGAGGGACCTTAGTGGCCGGCTCACAGACAGCTGGTAGCACAGTGGACAGAGCTCTACGCCTGGCGTCAGGAAGACCCGAGTTCAGATCCACCTCTGTTTGCCTCAGTTTCATCAACTATAAAATGGACCCACCTCCAAGGGTTGTTGTGAGGAACAATGAGATAATATTTGTAAAAAGCATTTAGCCTGGCACATAAATGCATATTCCCCATTCAGTCCAACCCCCTCCAGCGTTACAGAAGAGAAAATCTTGCACGAGTCAGAAAAGTTAAGAGACTTGCTTAGGGTCACACAGCTTGTAAGTATTGAGGCAAGATTCACACCATCTTCCTGATTCTGAAGCCCTTGGTGAACCAGTGGATAAAGCAAAGAACAGAGTTCAAATCCTGCCTCGTGCATTTACTAGCTGTGTAACCAGGGGCAAGTCACTTAACCTCTGTGGGTCTCAGTTTTTCATCTGTAAAATGATGGGATTGGGTTCGGTGACCTCTAGGGCCCTTCCAGATCTGAATCAATGACCCTGTGGTCTTGCACTAAGGATGTTGTTCCCACAGGGCCCAGAGGATATTCTTAGCTCATCCCCTACCCAGCAGCAAGGCAGCCAGCACCCCACCACATCCTCCCCCCTGCCCCCTACCATCACCTCTTTCCGAATGGCCAGCTCCAAGCTCTCCACCTGGACAGCCGGGCTCAGTCCACAGAGATTCTCACTCAGGTTCTGTTTGTCCCGAGGCGTGTAAGACACAAAATCATCATCCATGCGCAAAAACAAGACAGGCTCCTCACGGACACAGAAAAAGACACACTCCTGCAGAGAGCCCAAGAAGGGAGCCATTACCACCACCATCACCATCATTAGCATCACCCCTACCATGGTCACCATCGCTAGCATCATCACCACCGTCCCCATGGCCATCATCCTACCCCTATCAATGACATATACCATGAATGCCATTGTCATCATGGTCTTCCACCATCAACACCCTCACCACCAACACCCACCACCATCACTGTCACCATCTCAGATGCAATACTACCATAAGGCCTATCGCTATCATTGACCTCACTATGTATTCATTAAAACTGGCGTTTACTGGGGCAGCTAGGTGGTGCGGTGGATAGAGCATGGCTCTGGATTCAGGAGGACCTGAGTTCAAATCCGGCCTCAGACACATAACACTTACTAGCTGTGTGACCCTGGGCAAGTCACTTAACCCCACAGCCTAACCAAAAATAAAAAAAAATAAAATAAAGCTGACATTTACTGAATAGCTATGACGTGCAAGACTCTGTACTACGGGTAGGGTCTAAAGATGCATGAGCTGCAATCGGTGCTCCAGAAGCCAACATCCTAATCAGGGAGATGAGGCAGGGCCCCACCAAAGACCTGATGCCCATACCCATCTCCTGTCCTGTGTCCTTCCCCTAGGATCTCAAGCTCCCTTTCTCTTCCCTCCTTCCCAATCCCTACACTCCTTCCCTTCCAGTTCACGGGTTCTTCGTGCAGGGGCCTCCCATCGATCCCAGGGCACATCTCCAATGTAGAAAATACCTCTTGACGCAGTCCTGTCATTAAAAACATCAAGCATCTACTGTGTTTGGACAGCCATGCTAGGAACGAGGGTGACGAAGAAGACAAGGGCCCTGGCTTCCTGGAGCTTAAAATCTAGTAGGTTCTGTGGTATTCCACTATTATGGCCCAAAGACCTTGGCTTGGCTTCCAAGGCCCCTCCACAATCTGGCCCTTTCTACCTCTCCAACCTGACCACCATCACTACCATCATCGCCACCATCACACTCACCTTCAGCCACACCAGTTTCCTCTGTCTTCTCCTACATACCACCCGCTCATCTCTGCTTCACAAATATGTCTCCATCCTTCCCTCATCTTAGTTCTCTCCCCAACCCCAACCTTACATGGAGTAAGAGAGTCAGCCCCCACCCACCTTATGGCCATCGCTCTGGAGTTTCCGGAGAACCCTCTTGAAGCCTGCAAGGCTGGGCTGCCCCATGCCAAACACAGCGTGCCCACCTCGGGCCTGGCGGAAGTTGGGGGCCCCGCAGCTCCCTGTGGTGTTCAAGGCATCCATTTTCCCTGAGACATCTCGGACCATGAAGTAGCGTCCCTGGAAAAATAAGAAGGAGCGGGTAGAGCCTTGACGGATGAGACAGGAGCCCCTTCATCCCATCTCAAGGGCTTCCCATTCATCTCAGGACAGGCCTCATTCGGGTCACCAAACATTGGCCTTGACTTGTTTCCTTCTAGCCTCTGGGGCGGCTGGCTCTGGGGGACCTGAGAAATCATGAAGTCCAACCTTCAGTTTATAGGTGAAGCCCAGAAAGGCAAATGACTTGCCCAGAGTCACTCAGCTTCTAAGTAAAAGAACCAGGATTTGAACCTGAGTCTTCTGACTGCAGGTGCAGCTCTCTTTCCACCACATGGAGCTGCCCTCAGAAGTAAGGTGAATTTAAAAAAATAAAGAAAGAAAGAAAAGAAATAAGGTGAATTGGGTGGAGAAGGTGATTCCCCAGGAGGCCCCAGGACAAATAACAAATGTGTGTTGAATTCCTGTTAAAGGAGGGAACCATATACTGCAGATACAACCCAAGGACCAAAACTGCCCTCAGAAAGCCTCCATTCTAACTGAGGGAATGGGGCATGTACACAAATAGGCATACTCCAGAGCAGAGTGTAAGGAGAGAAGGAGATCCAGGCAGAGTACTGGAGGAAAATCGAGACACGAGAAAACCCGCTCAGCTAAGAGGGGGTGGAGGGTGGGTGAGGGAGCTGGGCTAGGGTGTGGGAGTCCACTAGAGATGATGGTATGGGGGACCTGGGCCTTGAAGTCAAGAGACAGAGGTAAGGAAGGATTGTGTTCCAGGCATGGGAGATGACAGAGCCTAATTCACCAAGACAGAAAAGGTCAGGACAAGATCAGGAAGCAGGGGATGGTCCCAGGCGGCTGGAAACCAGAATCAGTAAAAGAGGGCAGAGAGAAGCAAAGGGCTAGAAAAGCCAGCTGTAGCCATGATGCAGGATGAAAAGGAGAGGGCTGAGCCTCTCCCAGAAAGTCTGAGTGTGAATTAGGGCAGGGCAGGGTGGAATGTACCACATTTGTCCTTTTCCCACCAGCAGGGACACATTCTTCTCAGGTGGAGGGGCAGTGAGCCAAGGAGCACAGGAAAGAGTCACGTGCAACTAGCTGAACCTCTGCTTGGGGACCCCTCAGTACCCTGGGAACATCAGATAACCCTCAGGCTGGAAGGGCCCTTGAGAGGTTATCTCCTCCATCCTCCCCACCCCCCACCCTGCCTTGTGGCAGAACAGACACCTACGCTACACAGATGAACAAACTCGTTCCGCTCCAGGCCTCCATGAGGGTAAAAGGTTAGGAAAATTCCCAACTGTGCTCATTTTTTAAACAATCAACAAAACAAGCCACGCCAGAGAGGGGAGCCAGAAGGACAGCTGGACAGTGAGGTTCCCCAGACGCCTGAAGAACAGAAAGGCCTGGATGCTGAGGGCGTGGAAAGCGGGAAGGAGAAATGCATCTCCCCAGGTCTACACACGGCTAGGCTCAGCTCGACGGCTGAGGAGCTGTGTGATCTGGGGCAGAAAGCCAAGCGTGGTCATCCACAAAACGGTTTAATTCAAGGGTCTTTAAGGTCCCTTCGGGTTCTGACAGTCTGTTCAACAGTCTCTGGTCCTGGTTAGCTCGGAGGGATGGGGTCAGAAGATAGAAACGGGTAAGTAAACAACCCAGCAGTTGACTCACTGGGACAGATCTTGGGTCAAGGGCCCAGGACGGACTTTGGCCATGAGAAGCTGGGGATCGCGGACAGCTCAGGTGAGCCATCGAAGGGGAAAGGGCTGCAGAGGCCCTAGAGGGAAAGGAGGGGAAGGGAAAGAAAAAGAAAGGGGAAGAGGGAGGGGAGGAGAGAGAAGGAGTACAACAGTTCCCATTACTAGAGAGCTTTTAAAGGGGGTAGAAAAAGCAAACAGGAGAGGAGAGGAAGAAGTCAGCAGGACGAAGGGAAGGCAAGAAATAGAGGAGAAAAGAGGAAAAGAGAGGAGGAAAAAGAAGGGAAAGGAGGAGGGGGATGAAGAGAAAGAGGAAGGGAGAGGAGGAGGGGGAAAGCGAAGAGGAAGAGAGACAAGGGGAAGGAAAGAGAAAGGAGAGGGGCAGGTGATGGGGGAGGGCTCACCTGGACCAGGTAGTGCTCCTGCGTGGCCTCTGAGATCCGGCCCACTGTGTAATGGGCCTTGAGCACTTCATCATGGATCTGGAACTCTTCTTTACAGTTGTACCTGTCCCAGAGAGCATGAGTCAAGGACAAGGCTGCCCACTGCCCCCAAGCTGCCTCCCGCCATTCCCAGGAGCCTATAAGTCGCTGATACTCACCTCCCCTTCTCCCCCTCCTCCAGCCCTTTTTGGCTCCCTCCTTAACTTATCAATATGGAAGCTCTAATCTGAGAGTGAGGACACTGCTTCCTAATCTGTAAAATGAGTATTAGCAAGCCTGTACTCCCTATCTCCCAAGGCCTGTAGATGATGGGTGGCCGAAGGACTCAGTAGGCTTTAAAAGCTCTATAGAAATGGAAGATCAGTCATTCAATGAGCATTTATTAAGGGATTACTTATGTACCAGGCCCTGGGCTGAGTGCCAAAACATGCCCTGCCCTCAAGGGGCTTACATTCTGATCGGACCAACCACTTGGAGAACAATTTAGATTTCTGCTTAAAAAAGTACTAAAAGATTGGTGGCCACTGACTATAATTATTCCTCTATAATATATATTTTGGCATATATAACCAATGTAATCAGGTATAGATAGCAGGTTTAAATAAGATAATGTATTCAGGGCCAGCTAGGTGGCACAGTGGATACAGCACCAGCCCTGGAGTCAGGAGGACCCAAGTTCAAATCTGGCCTCAGACACATAACACTCATTAGCTGTGTGACCATGGGCAAGTCACTTAACCCCAATTGCCTCACCAAAAAAAATATAATATATTCATGGCAGTACTTTTCAACATAGGAGGAAAAAAACAAAATAGGGATCCATTTATTAGAGAATGGCTGAACAATTTATGATATATGGATATAATGGAATTATACTATAAGAAATATGAGAAATTCAGAGAACTACAGAAAAACCTGTAAAAAGCGAGATGTACTGGGCATTATTAAAAAATCAATATATCCCTAGAAAATACTAGATAACAAAAATCAATAATAATGAAAAAAAGGAGCTTGCATTCCAATGGCACATCTTTCACCTCCCAACAGAGAGGGGAGAGATTCAAGCTGCAAAACAAGATGCCCATTTCTGGACACGGGCAAGGTGGGACTTTCGTTTGTTTGACTCTGAGTATTTGTTACGAGGGTTTTCTCTTTCAGCAAGAATGAAAGGCAGTAACAGCTAGGGGCCAGTGAAAGACCCCTCACAAGGTGGGATTTGAGCTGGGCATTACTACTGCTGCTGCTGCTGCTGCTGTTGCTGCTGCTGCTGCTACTACTACTACTACTACTACTACTACTACTACTACTACTACTACTACTACTACTACTACTACTACTACCACCACCACCACCACCACAACCACCACCACCCTACCTTGGCCACCCACTCCCTATGTGACAGTAGGTCTCTCTCACGCCCTCTAGTCCCCTGTTTTCCCCAATCCCTCCCCCGACCAACCTCAAACAAGGGCTGTAACAATAAAGAGACACAGGCCTGGCCCACTTTACCCCACGAGTGGCAGCAGCTCCATGTGGAAGTGGCTTGGGTGCCTGGTCCACCAGCCACTTGCTAGGGGCCTCCTCCCCTCCACTGCCTCAGTGTGACCCTGGACTAAGGGCCCCCAGGCTCTCAAAGGCTCCGCTGGCCTACAGGCTGCTTCGAGGGGCCTCACCCGCACTGGAGGGCAGGCGCAGAGCGGACGACGCACCCTGCTCTTCCAATGATGAGCCTAGCTTGTCACGAGGTCACATGACACCAGCCTGGCTACAGGCATGTGAAGTCTCCAGCCACAGTAGTGCAGGAAACCAAATCTCAAGGCTTGGGGGGCCCTGGAGGAGCCTCCCTCCTCACTGGTTTCACAGATCTGATAAAGCACTGAAGCTGCTGCCCGCCCACCACCACCACCACCACCACCACCAGCTGTGGAAAAGGCCCTGTGGTTGGTACCACAGGAGGAGCCAGAAGGGAATAAAACCAGGACTTGCCTCCCTGCCCTCAGGGGCTTCCAGTCTGCTCAGCTATTCCCTTTACAGAAAGAGCCTCCATAACATCCTTTGAAATATCAATATTCTTTTCAGTACAAAGGGAAGGAGCAAGTCCATGCCATTATTTGAACAAAATAAAATTTAATTTTAAAGAATATCAGTGAAAATAAATAAATAAATAATTTTTTTGAAAGAATATCAATGTTCTTTATAGATTTTAAAACTCCCGGGAGAGAACAGACTCCATGAGGCAGGCATTTTTCTCTTGTCTTTACTTCCCCAGCATCTAGTATAGTGCCCCGCACACAGCAGGTGCTTAATCAATCCTGGATGGCTTAATCACTGATCCACCTGGCGAGTGATCGCTATCACAGCAATAGCTCCCACACGTGCAGGTGAGTAGGCCAAGAACCCTAGAGCTCCGCCCTCCTCCTCCTCCGTCTTGCTCCTGCTGGACTCCCAGCAAGGAACCTTCCCAGAGCCAGGGCCTCATCAGACTGCCCAGAACCACTCCCTCTAGGGCCTACCACCCAGCTTCTTCCTCCACTGCCCCACCCCAAACACAGGGATTGACTTTGCTGCTTCCTTCCACCTTTCCAGAGACGCCCACCAGAAAGTGGAGAGCTACCATGACCAGCATGCTGGTCTCAGGTTCAATGTCCTCATTGCTTGGGTGGGCAGGAGGGGGCTGGGAGCTGGAGGTGTGCTTCTCTGTCCCTCCCCCATCCGGTGAATCAACAGAGTGTCCCTACTAGTGCCCTAGACTTAGCCCTTCCGTCCAGATCAATGACGTGATCACATGAGCATGACAGACCCTCTCACCAGCCTATGTACCATCCTCAGATCACAGAATATACGCTGAAAGGACCCTTAGAGAGTTTCTAGTACAACCCCTTCATTGGAAATTTGAGAAGAGCTCAATCACACCATTGGTAAGGAGCCAAACAGATAATAATAATAATAACAGCTTGCATTACTTATATAGTATTTTAATTTTTGCAAGGTACAGCTAGGTGGCTCAGTGGATAGAGCAGCTGGCCTCCAGTCAGGAAGACCTGAGTTCAAATCCAACCTCAGACACTTAGTAGTTGTGTCAGCCTCGGTTTCCCTATCTGTAAAAAGAGATAATAATAGTACTTCCCTCACAGGGCTGTTTTGAGGATCCAGTGAAAATACTGGTAAAGCACTTAGCACATAGTAGGTGCTTAATAAATGTCTGTCCCCCCTATATATACTATTTCATTTGATCTTTACAATAACCCAGTGATGAAGGTACTATTATTATCCCCATTTTATAGATAAAGAAGCTGAGTCTCAGAAACGTTAAAGAACTCACTGAGGGTCTTATGGCTTATAAGGGTCTGAAATAGGATTTGAACTCAGGTCATCATGAACTCAAGTCTTGCACTCTATCCACTATGACACCCAGCTCTACCTTAAACACAGAAAACATTTTCTGACAGGTCCACTGACCCAAGGCTTTAATTTCCTATCTGAGGTTGGCAAAAACTTCCATTATGACATTTGCGGTAGAAGCCTGGGGAAACAGACTGGTCCAAGGTGAATCAGCTGGATCGCTGTGGAAATCTTGCCCCGGAAGTTGGGCCACTATTTACCTCGCACAGGACCCTGGTGTTTTAGAATTCAGGCAGACTTTAGAGATCATCTCGTCAACCACCTTCACTTTATAGAGAAGACAGCTGAGGCCCTGAAAGACGGAGTGACCTGGCCAAGGATGGGTCCCTGGAGAGCCAGGTTTGGCTCCCGGGGGCCTGGGCCTTCACACTGACTGTCCCCTTCCTTTCTCCCCCTCTATTGTTCGTCTCAGGCAGCATCCGCTCAGATTGCTAGGGACAAGCATTCCCGGGGCTGTGGGGCGACGGGGTCACTCACGTGATCACAACTGGGGCCACTTTGTTGGGGATGATGGACTTGGCCCGGCTGTTATGAGGGCCAGTGGTCTGGAAGGAGTGAATGCTGAGTGAGTGGCGGTCATCCATGCCACCACAGCCCTGGAGGCCCTCGAATGGGGGGCCTGTCACCGCCGACACTGTCTGCTGGGCAGTGCTGGCCGTCGTACCCATAATCCAGGGACAGCAGCCTCAGGACGCGATCTGTGGAGGAGCAGATGGAAAGGGAAATGGAGACAGGGAAACCAATGGTCTAGAGTTCAACGGAACTTTGCATCAAAGGGTTTAGATCTGAGAGGAACCCGAGAGGCCTTCATCTTACAGATGAAGAAACCAGGGCTGAGAGGGGTCAAGAGACTTGCCCAGGATCACACACGGAAGTGTCTGAAGCAGGATCTGAACTTGAGTCTCGTCTAGAGCTGCAGCCTGCTGGGATCACAGATTCAGGGCCAGAAGGGACCCTATAATAATAATGATGATATATTAGCAGATGGGGGACTTATAATCTCAGAGGAAGGAGCTGAACCCACATCTTCCTGACTTCCACTACCCTGAGCTAAGTGGCCCACAAAGGAATCAAACCTGAGAGCCTGGCCTCCTTTCCAGAGCCCTGTATGCCAGGACTCAACAGCTAGTGGGCTCTGGGTTCTAGTCTTACACAAGTCTCTCTTGGCCAAAGGCAGGCTAGGGTGACTGTGACCATGATCCATCTTCCTCCTGCCAGGTACCCCCCAAAAGCTTCAGCCAGCCCTTTCTGGTCTGGAAATACCTTCCTCCTCTCTTCCCTGGGGCCCTGTCATAGCTGACAAGTCCCAGCAGCCTTCCTAAGACAGCTTTATTAACACAACACTTTGGGTTTACAAGGGCCCCATCTCCTAAGGGTCCGAACACCAACCAAGTTCTCTTTTTTGGGTTCAAGACAGAAGAGATGAGACTCCATAGTCACAAACCGAAAACCTGGAGGCCTGAAGGAGCTGGGACGGAGGCAGCCACGGCACAGTGGGAAAAGATAATGTCAGAGGACTTGGGTTTCATCCTCGAGCAGCCACTTATGAGGGTCATCATGGCCATCCCCCAGGCCTCAGTTTCCTCATCTGTAAAATGAGGGGTAGGGGACACCCAATGGGCCATTCCAACAGTGAACTGAATGATTCCATAAAATGTCATCACAGGATCACTGAATGTCAGTGACGAAAGGGACCCCAGAGGCCACCCAAGTCCAGACTATATCTCACAAGGATCCCCTCAACAGCATAACCCACAAGGATTCATGCAGCCTCTGCTTGAAGCCCTCCAATGACAGGGAGCTCACTACCTCCAAAGACCACCCATTCCAGCCTGGCGTTTGCCCTTCTGATTGTGGGCCTCTCTGCAGCTCCCTCCCCCACCCTGTGCTCCTGGCTGTGCTCCTGGGTCAGCAGAGCAAGGCTAATGGGGTCACAGACAGAGAGCTAACAGGCCTTCTAGTCTGACCCCAACGTTAACCCTCTCCCCCACGACAAGCCCTAGAATACCTAAAGACATCCATCACAGCTCCCCACGCCCAGGTTCCCCTACAGACTAAACATCCCAGTCTGTTCACCCGACCCCAGGTAGCATGGCCTCGCACACAGCCCGGAGGCGGTCACCATCTTGGCCGCCCTCTGGCTCATCTCTGCCGCTCAAAGTGACAACACTGAGGCGAGCACCATGCCCTCTGCTTCCCAGGTCAGGATCTAGTGATATCCAAAGCACCAGTCATCTGCCTCCTTGGGCTTCCCACCTCCTAACACCCGGCTTGAACCAAGAAGATGCAGACCCAGGGGAAGGGGCTGCTGGACAGAAGGGGGAGAATTCAGAAAAAGGGAGAGGGCCCAGAGGAAAGGGCGGAGGGGAGGGCAAAAGAACAGCCGGTCACAGCTGCTCCCAGTCAGGCTCAGACACATTCCCCTAACTAGGGGAGAAGAATCTGGTGTCTTTCCCACACCCCCACCACCTGCCTCCTCAGCTGGGCCTTGGCGGTCCCCCCCACAGTTGGCAGCCAGCCACTGTGAGGGGGAACCCAGATGTGTGCAGCTGCAGACCCAAGGCTGCCTTGGGGAAATCAGACCCCTCCGCAGGTCAGTCCCTCCATCACTGCCCTGTGCCTGACCCTGAGGACCCCATGCCCTCTGTCTGGAAGGAAATCAAATTCCTCTCCTGAAATCTCTCTGCAGATCCTCCCCCTACTCCGTCTCTGCAGGGGAGGTCCATTCTCATGGCCTCCAGGGCCCCCCATCAATACAGACCCCACAGAACAATACTGCTGACAACTCCCATTTCTTTGGTGCTTTATGGCCTAGAAAGATTGCCTCATACCAAGCCCATGCAGTGGACGGGAGGGGATTATCGCCCAGAAGCACAGCATCTGAGAGTCGGGAGAGACTTTAGTGGCCATCTTACATGTGCACGCATGTGTGTACACACACACACACACACACACACACACACACACACAGAGCCTCATAAAGGGAAGAAATAAGACATCAACAGACTAAGACCCTAATAATAATATGGTGCAAAATCAACCATCTCAATGTTCTACCCTCCTTCCTTAACAAGCTGTGCACAAGTCTCCAAAGGAAGGCAGCCCAGGGCACCAGGTAAAGGAAATGATGGAAAGACCCTGCTTTGGAGTCGGAGGACCTACTTCTGTCACCACTTAGGCACCCTAGATCCACCCCTGGGCCTCAGCCTCTCCCTCTGCTAAAGCAGAGCCGGGAGGAGTTGGACCAGACCCCCCCAAGGTTCCTCCCAGCCCTGGATCCAGGACCCTCCACACCTCTGGTCTGGGAAAGCCAAAATGCTGGATGATCTACTCCAGAATGATTACTGGGCAGGGGAATGGGCCAGGGCCTGTCATCCCAGCTCCCGGATGATCCCTGGTTCTGACTAGCCTGGGGAGAACAAGAGGGCCACTCGCCAGGCCCAATGGGCCGCTGCTCTGGATCCCACACCCCCAGCTCTCCCAGCCCATGCCTCACACTGGTCTAATCCAGAATGTCATGTCATCGTCGGGTCCAGGTTTCAGGGGAATCTCCTTGGCTTCAGACCATGCAGGACAGAGGTCCCTGCTCAGACTGTGGGCCTCAGATTCACCAAATTTTGGAATCCCAGGGGTCATCTAGAAGAAGTGAGGGGCACAGTAGATAGAGTGTCACACTGGAAGTCAGAAAGACCTGAGATCACACTGTGTCTCACACACTCACCAGCCTCCATGCAACAAGAGGGCTGAATTCAGTGTCACCTAGGGTCCCTTTGGTGCTAAATCGATGAGTCTGGGACCCCTGGGTGAGCACATTCAGGGCGTAGGACCCCAAGGCCAGGGAGACTTAGCTCCCAGGTTCAATGTCCATGTGGCCCAGTTTGCTTAGCTGTGTCTGATCCCCAGCCACTGACCAAACCTCTAATACCAGTCCACCAGTAGAAGAAAGACGGCTCAGAGCAAAGCCTTAACTAGGGGTCAGAACCTCGAGACAACTCTCTGAGATAGGTGACTTTGGCCACGTCATTTCATCTCTTTAAGATTCAGTTTCAGGGGCAGGTCTGTGGCACAGTGCACAGAGCTCCGGCCCTGAAGTGAGGTGAATGCATGTTCATATCCAGCCTCACGCACTAACTAGCTGTGTGATCCTGGCCAAGTCACTTAACCTCTGCTTCAGTTTCCTCAACTATAAAATGGGGCAGGCAACTGCCTCTACTGAACTCAGAAGTCTGCTGTGAAAAAAAAACTGCTTTACAATCCTTAAAATGCAATAAATATGAGTTATCATTATCATCACTTTTAAGACTTAGAGCTCACCTAGCCACATCCCTATATTTTAGATGTGTAGAAACAGAGGCCCAAGGAGAAGTGAAATGACTGACCCAAGGCCATACAGGTAGTGAGGAGCACTTAAGAGATTAGAACCCAGCTCCTCTGGCTCCAAATTCTGGTCCTTTTCTCCTCTGCCATGCAGGTAAGGTGACATTTAAGGATGTTAACAGGCAGTCACCACTTCCTTCCTCAACGGTGCTATCTCAAAGGACCAAGTGGTGTCAATTAATGCAATGTATTTTAAACATACTAGGTAGTAGAGGAAATTTTTTTTTATTTCAGAGTAAAATTACAATACCTGGAGGGAAGAAATGAAGGGAACCAGTACTACTATGTGCCAGGTTCTGTGCCAAGCATTTTACAAATATTATCTCATTTGATTAACTTGTAATTATTTCTATTTAAAGCTCATTTGCTCAGAGGAGAAAGTAGAGTTGTAAAATCATTTTTAAAAACTTAAAATTTGGGCAGCTAGGTGGCGCAGTGGATAGAGCACCGGCCCTGAAGTCAGGAGGACCTGAGTTCAAATCCGACCTCAGACCAAACACTTGACACTAGCTGTGTGACCCTGGGCAAGTCACTTAACCCCAACTGCCTAAAAATAAAGTTTTAAAAAAACTTAAAATCCTTGGATCAAGTGACTCCACTGATGCACCTGGTCCTTCTAGGATTTAGCAGGGCCACGCCACTACAGGGGATCAGAAATCCTGGATCTCCTGACGATGCAAACACTCAGTGTGGAAGTAAAGGCTAGATCGTGTGGCCATAGGCCAGGAACACAAGAGGAATTCAGAGACGGCAGAAAGGGTCAGGCTAGACTGACAAGCTGGGCCAGGGAGCCATGGGGGTTGCGGGACAGACTGGAAATATGCATCCAAGAACTCTGAAGGTTCCCCCAGGGAACAGAAGACTTTGGGGCACATCACCAAATAGCTGTGAGACCCTCACCCTACTTGGCAGCAAAAAGAAGCGAGAAGGATGAGAAGAAGCTTCGGTCCCCAGGAACAGCTCCCTGTCACCAGAGTCCTTCCAGAGAAGGCTGCATGACCTCGTGCTGTGGACCGGACTCTGCAGGAGCTGGACTGAATGTCCTCTGAAGGCCCTTCCAGCTCTGAGATGCTTCTAAATTCCAGCCAGAAACCGGGAGCAGGAAGACTTTCCTTAAGAACAGGGGGGAGTCAGAAGGCAGTAGAAGATGGGGCAGCTAGGTGGCACAGTGGATAGAGCATCAGCCCTGGATTCAGGAGGCCCTGAGTTCAAACCCAGCCTCAGACACATAACACTCACAAGCTGTGTGACTCTGGGCAAGTCACTTAACCCCAACTGCCTCACCAAAAAAAAAAAAAAGGCAGCAGAAGAAAGAAGCCTG